ATTCAAATAACCTTTTTCATACTATGTATTAACAAAGATTTCAAGGTTCTATCATTAAATATCAAGTAGATGAAAAGGCAGCACAGTGAACGTTGAGCATCATTTCCAGCCTACACGCAGACACGTAGCAAAAGGATACTGAACATTTCCCTCAACTGTGTATTTGGCAGAGCAAGGGTAATGTAACCAAACCCCTCTGTTTCCTCCTGCCCAGGCACTTCCAATGGTGATAAAAAGAACTGTATGCTGACCTTCTACCGACTCCTGACTTCTCTCACCTGTTCTTTGTCAGAAAGGTGTTTAAAATTTTAATACATATGAATAAATCACTAGGACACAACCTGGAATAAGTATAGAGTTCTTATATAAAAGTCAACAGCTTTGAAACAAAAGGTTTCTTGGCTGATTATCTATTCTCATGACATGTAAATAGCTGAGCTATTTAAAACACTATGCTTTTATTATGTACTTTTAAAAACTGTGATGTTAACCAGGAATCATCTGATTATAGGATTTAGGGCTAAACGAGACCCAACAAGTTATTTCATTATCTAGCTTATTTTAAAGTTTAAAAACTGGATCAAGATGTACACTTATCTATTCGCACCCCCATTATGGGCCATTTTCGTAAATGACATCCCTTATTCAAGGTCAGCTGGTGTTATCTATCCTGATATTCAAAACCTTCCTATCTCACCTTCCTGTCCAACTTAGAATTATAAAGGTCATTTAGCTTCCTTCCGCAAGCCGAGGCAGTGAGTTTGTCTCACCTGCACTGCACTGCATATAACCACTTCATGATCCCTGGAATGCTGCTATGCATTTTGAACTTACCTTGTTATTAACTCAGGTTATTCCCATTGGACTAAAACTGTAGGCTTGTCATTATTAAACATCATCATCTTCTAGCAAACGTAGACCAAAGTCTATAAAACTATTTTGCTTCAGTTTAAATAATACATTTTAGAATCACTTAACTGAGTTTTCTGTAAAGTGTCCTCTTTCAAAAAGGGTTAGTAGCCCTGGCTGGTGTGGCTCAGTTGGTCGGGCATCATCCCAGGCACCAAAAGGTTGCCGGTTAGATTCCCGGTCAGGGCACACGCCCAGGCTGTGGGCTCGATCCCCAGCAGGGGGCGTGCAGGAGGCAGCCGATCAATGATCTCTGATCATTGATGTTTCTCTCTCTCCCTCTCCCTTCATCTCTCTGAAATCAATAAAAACCTGTTTTTAAAAAACTTAAACACAGCTACCATATGACCCAGCCATTCCACTTCTAGATATATATCCAAGAGAAATAAAAATATATCTCCACACAAAAACTTGTACAAATGTTAAAGCAGGTAAAGCAGTATAATTCAGAATAGAAAAAAAAGTGGAAACAACCCACATATCCACCAACAGATGAATGGGTGAATAAAATATGCTATTTTCAAACAATGAAATATTACTTGGCCATAAAAAGAAATGAAATACTATATGCTAAACATAGGTGAAACTTGGAAACACTGTTAAGTTAAAAAAGTCAATCATAAAAGACCATGCGTTATATTCCACTCATCTGAAATCTCCAGAATAGGAAACTCTATAGTCAGAAAGATTCGTTATTGCCTAGGATAAAAGGTAGGTGGGTGCTGGGAGGGAGGGGAGGAGAGCACTAGGGAGTAACTGCTCATGGGTGTGGGATTTCTTTTTGGGTGATAAAATTAATCTAAAATTGATTATTGTAATTGTTGCACAACTCCAGTAATGTGCTAAAACCACGTTGTACTGCACAATTTAAAAGGTATGCGAATTATATCTCAATAAAGCTGTTTAAAAAAAACATAAAAGAGTTCGGCGCTCTTTCCATGGATAAAAGACACTAATAAAAAAAATTGTGTCTGATTGAGCAAAACAAGGGTATGTGGCCTTTATTCCCCTTCCAGACACTGTTGCTTTTAGCACATTTACAATTTTATCTGCTTATCCCATGTGATACCCAAGCAGAGCTCGGAGCCACAACAGGAAGTCCAAAACAGTTCTTTCAAACAAACTTAAAAAAGCAGCTTAATATTACCCAATATGTATTAAAGCACCACTTTGTTGCCATTTTATGATCTTAAGCTCTTGCTTTCCATTTTGAAATCACAAAAGAGACTTATTTTTCAAGGAAAAAAGATAAGCCATCATATTGAGGACAAAGTGAATAGTGTACTTAGGCGTTTCTAAATCCCCACACCACCAAGAGTAGTGTGGGGACGTAGCAGCTAACCAGTGAGTAGTGCTGATCGACCGGATGTAAGTTCCTGGAGGGAGGATTCAAACGCTCAATGACTGATTTAGTGACCAACTAAAGTGATAGCTCGACCAAGAAGAGAAGTTTATTTTCTAAATTGTTCCTACACGGAAGTGGACGCTAAGTAACAAGACATTTTAATGTACCAACAATCAACTGAGTAGTTTCCATACATTTCTGTGTCAGTGGTTCTTCTGCAGTAAGACTATTCTCATTTGGAAAAAACACAAGGGAATTTTGGAAGTCAAGTTCTGAAACTATCGACGGGTTTTTCACTATTTATTCCAGATTCATTCAAGCATTACAATTTATTAGAACTGGCTCTGGACCACACACAGGAAAAGGGACTAGATCATAAAATGAGTGAGGGGGGCTGCCCTGAAAGTGTCTGCAGAATCCTGGGGTGAGGATCTCACAGGATCTGGGTTTTGGTGCTTCAGAGAAAACTGGGCTAATTAGCTCTATATTGGTGAATCTGGAAGTTCTTTAAAATGTACTCTCTTAAATTCAGGTTGTAATATTTATGTTTCAATGTACACTAAAACAAAGTCATAACAATATTTTATTTAGAAAACCAAAACAGGGAAAAGAAACCCCAAACATAATTAGATGTTATGAATCCAGCAGGGACTACTAAGGTGAGGCAAGAGGTTCCCTGTGTAGAGTTTAGGGAGGCACTCGGTTTAGGGTGGTGCAAGTGCAGGGGCAGCCTTAAAAAAATGCACCCTAGACACCTCTCCTGCCTCAGTGGTGTATATTTAGTATACTTCATAACAAATGGCTTGTAAATTATTTATAAATGGAGCTGTGAAATCCCCGGGAGAGTGAGTTGCTAGAGAGAGACTGTCTACTTTTGGGAGGAAGGCAGAGATACTAAGGGAAAGATGAGACACACTTAGCATATTAAAATGGTTACCAAGTTAAAAGCTTCCAACTTTTCAGACTGAAAGTTATTCTCAAGCCCAAACTGTTCTATTATCTATAACTATTAACTTACGCTTTTGCTGACTTCAATAATTTCTTTAGTGGAATTTTTCTAAGATCAATACCAGATAAACTGAATGAAAAGTTACAAGTCACTGCCAATACTCTTCCAAGACAGGTCATTTTGGGGACCTGAGGACAACCCTCTCCTTAGTTCCTCAGTCTAGTTATTGATGGTTATTCAGGGCCAATTAAGGAAAATCCTGAATGTATCTGGTTCGCAGGAATGTAACTCCATAACTGAACAAAGCATTAATTTTAATTGGTTGTTCTGAAAACTGGAACATGAATATAGAGGAAGCGATAAATAACTTAGATTTAAAAGACATTGACATCACGTGGAAAATATTTTCCTATTACATCAAAGCCATGAGAACTTGAAACCCACCTGCCACCACTGCATCTGGTAAGTGAATGTTCAGTGTCGGTAAGACGGTGAAAGCTTTCTGAGACGTCCCAAATGCACACACAGGAAAACGTTTCCTCTGTGTTGACTTCATTCCCCCGCTCCTTCTCTACACACGTGTAGGATGCTCAGAGCTATCATCCATTTAGTTTGGGTTAATTTAAGTAGATTTCTTCTTCTTCCATTTTACTTTAAAACTGAAAATTTTTACCTACCTGTTAGGTATTGGAACTAAAACTTTCATATACAGCACTCAACAGAGCCTAGAAGAGCTTGGTTGTGATTGTGACTTGTGACTGTGATTTATAAAACTTTCTGGGATGGGCTCTAAACAAGGTTTTGTATAGTCTTCAGCAACAGCAGCAGAATAAAATCATTCCAAGCCGCCACAAATGGTGCTGTTTGTGTAGAAAGATGTTTCTGTACCGGATAATTAAAGGCTGCGGCTACTCTCAAATAATTGCCTGGATTATCCAAGTAAAACATTCAAAATCATTAAGAACCTTTTTACTAATGAAATGTGGTAATTCAAGGAAAAAACTATTACTCAAATAATAAATAAAAATGGCCCCAAAGATCTGGCCATCTCCTCTACGTTAAAAATATCAAATTTGTAGAATCTTTAAAGTTTTTTCTAATTATAACTCTTAATTAGTAATTTATAAAAAGTGTAAGGCGCCAAGCCCAAGCAAGTTAAAATATTTTAAATATGGAATTGAAGTCAACTGAGAACATAGTGCTTCATTACCACTGTGGCCCTAAAAGCTTTTCCTCCCCTAAATGTGATCCCTATAGCCGTTACCTCTATAAAGTAAAATCCAAGCTTATGAATAAAGTTCATGGGGAATACTATCTTTCTGGTGACTGAAGTCATTACTGAAAATACTTTTCCATGAAAACATTTACTAAGAACCCCCCAAATTAATTTCACTGCTGGAGGTGATGTAAGAATATGCATATGCACACATGCATATATCCGTTATGCTGGCCATTTTCATATTTAAACCCCATAAAAACATTTTTAACGAGCATTGGCCTAAAATTTCCATTTTGGATTAGTTATTTAATCTGTGTTGGAGAGATCAACATTCACAAATAAATGATATAATCTCACTTAAAAAACCAGTGCAATCTAAACTTTTGGTTATCTGACGTCCTGAATAAACAGCTCAGATAAACATCACCATGCAAACTTTCCTCCAGCTTTTATTGGGTGATTATCTAGGCCCTCTGAATCATTATCTTGAGAGTAAAATGCTGAATTATTTGTATTGGAGTTTCATGAAATTATATGAAAGGCACAGTTATAAATCCTAAAAACCAAGACACGGTGCAGCGAATTTAAGGTTAATTTTTAATTTATATATACATATCAAATAAAAGCTTTTGCTCATAAAAATATGCTCCACGTTAAATAATTTTAAAGACAAATAATTATTTATATATAATGCTTTCAATCTAATTATCCATTATAATGAATCCTACTGGTCCCTGAATCTGCCTTTATTTCCTCTGTTAAGGCTGGATGCAGAATATAACTACCCCCACTGGCAGGGGCAAAAATCAAGGGTCCTAGGGAGACCAGTCTCCGTGATCACTGATGATGCGGAGAGGCACTCAGCACCATGAACAGGTTATTCAAGTGTAGATAAGAAAATAAGCTGTATGAGTGACCTTCGTGAGGTTTTTCACATAAAGTATATTTCATATATCATTAAAGATTTAACTACTAACAAGCTACACCTAAGTTACTTAACTACTACTGAGTCCTTCGAGGTAACAGTCAATATCCAGCTTCCAATTTCCATTCTTTAAAACATTTCTCCATTGTGCTCCTAGACTTCCAGGTGCCAACATTCACGGTGGGTATGATGTTCTTGGGCCTGAGCCACTGAACAAAACGTTTCATTTCTAGGTAGCTGCTGTGTTCACTATAAGGAATTCCTAGAACACAAAAGAAAAGATTGCCTACTAAAAAAATCAAATTAACAAAAAAAAATTCACAAGCCCAAAATAAAATAATAGAGAAAAGGAAAATGATCCCAAGTATTTTTGTCAGAAACTCCTTGATGTTTTATTTTTTGATAATAAAATTTATCTTTTACAAAAAATAAAGATTAAAACATTAAAATGTTAAAACTTTGAACATTAAAAAATTCTATTACTTTTATATGTAGACAATACTATGCATTTCTATAGATTCGTATTTATAATCAGGCTTTTCTTTTTAAATAATTCTTTCCTTTAAACACTCTGCTCAGCTATGAATTGCGAGAAAATCCTAGAAGAAATATGAGTAAAATTTGAAGAACAAACAGGAGACACTTCATTTCTGGAGTAAGAAAGCAGATTCCAGTCCTCAAGCTTTGCACATACAGAAAACAAGCAAAAAATGAATAAAATAAATAAGTAAATAAATATTAAACCCTAACAAAATCCCTCATCTTCTCTACTAAAGATCAAGTACCGCAGAAACAGGGAGGAAGGGTCCTGTTCTGAGTAAAGCAGGGTCTTCAGAGGCTGAGAGTCAGTCACTGGACTAGTGACATATCAACAATGCTCCCAGCAGCCATTACTGTAGTAAGTCCATTCTGAGGACAACGGTAAACCTCCTCCAAGAGATGAAAACATTCAAGTCAAGCTTGGAACTCCGGCTGCAGCTATCTCTAGCCACTGTTTTCCTGCTCTCAGGGGCACAGCGCCATCGAAATCTGCAGCGCACAACTGTGCCCCCTGCCCCGTTTCAAGTAGTTCCAAAATCTCCCCTACATGTCACTGATCCCTCAAGCAACACGATCTGTATCAGTCAAAGTCTATCTGCTACGTTGTATCAGCTGATGATGTACTAGAGAAGCAGGTACAGCTGTTCGCAGAGTGATCTGAAACTCTTGAAGCATTAGAGTCTTTTGTGCCTCTTTCTCCTGCATCTTTAATTTTATGGCTCTTCTAAAAAATGTGATTACAAACATTAAAAGTGAGGAAATTTAATAATTGTACCATATATTGAAATCTTTCCTTTGGTCTGAGGTACAACATCTGCTATACTCGTCAACTTGTTAGAATGTGTCCATCCTGTAGGTCGAAAAGCCAGAATCTGCTCATATCTCCCATGATACTTCTTCAAATGACTCTGTAGACCCTGTTAAATAAAAATAGGACATCGATCTAATGGTCAGGGGAGATGGGTTCTGAGGAATAAAACAACAATTACAGGTGTTACACTGACATGGTCACAGGAAGTTTCACTTGGTAAATTGCAGCTTGTGACAATCTAGTGCAGCGATTTTCAACCAGTGGCCGCAAGAATGTTTAAAACATGCAACACCCGATTATTCAATCAGGGGCACTGACCTCCTTTCCCTTAGATTGTCAGATAAAAAAATGACAACAGCCAACACAACAGCTGTCTGGTGTGAATGAAATCAAGACTACGCTTATTTTTTGTTGGATGGGCAAAAAATATGTTTCTTGGTGTGCCACATAACTGTAGTAATCAGTTTGTGTGCCATGAGATGAAAAAGATTGAAAATTGCTGATCTAATGCCTTGCTTCCAAAAAATAAAATAAAATCACTGAAAAAATATATTTTCACCTTTACTTATCTAAAGTTAAGCATGCTGAAGTACAGTCTGAAAAAAATAACTAAGATGGGACAACTTTAAACATAAGTAATTATATGTTCAAAAATTACAATTCAGATAGCCACCAAAAAAATCATCTCTCCAAATCCTACCACTATTAAGAAATTAATATTAAAAATACAAATATTATCACTGATAAACATCAACCCAAAAATATCCCCGTGCATGGACAGAGGGTTGACAGAAGAATAGAAAGACAAACACTTTTTCTTTTTTTTACAAATACTTTCATATACTCAACACAGACATATATTTTAAAGATGCACAGTGGCACTCTCTCATGTATTGCTCTTTTCCACCTTTAAATATGAGCTAGAATAATATTAAAACTTTTTATGCTGGTACAACTGGAAGTAATATGCTTCCCTAACTAACCAGAAGTAGAATATAAAACTTTCCAAACCAAAGTCATTGTAAGTGATGCCATTTGATAAAATCCTTAGAAAATCACTAACCAGAGTTCAATCTTTGAAAGATAAAAGAAGTCCAGTTAAGAGATAATAATGGCACAAGGGATACAAAAAGGATACCAAAGAAAGTCTAACACTCTTGGTCTTAAGACTAAACCCAGAGTTTCAAAGGCTTGGTGTAAATATGTAATAAAATTCTAGTTTTATTCAAAATAATAAAAAATCAAAACTGCTCATAATATCATCTTGGATTTCCAAGTCTCCTTCTTCCTTAATCATATACACTCTGAACTATGAAAGTGTCCTAAGAGATGCTGGAATCCATTCATCCATCTACCTATTGACTCATCCAGTAGGTATCTGTCCCAGCTTCAGTACCAGGTGCTGGTGTGGGGCTGGCAGATAAGAGAAGCACCTTCACTTCTGGAAGCGTACAGCCTTGGGGGGAGACAGTCAAGAAACCCCACTTTCTGGGTCTTTTTTAATGGAAACTATCTGCCCTTTCTTAACTTTCCCTAAGACTCATCATCTAACACACCATTGGCACCTAGGAGCCTTAGAGTTTGACCTTTTCACAAAGAACTCAATTTTTAGTGTAAGTTTAGAAATGGGATTTAGAAATAGGATTGTTGAGTTAAAGGATTTACCCCTAATTTCTACTACTATCCAAGTGGATGAGAGTGCCAATTTCTCTGAATGTCAGCATAGAAATATTACCTTTAAAAAATGCGAATTTGGTAAAAGACAAACATAGCATAGTTATTTTACATGTTTTATTACTAGTAAGACGCTAAACATTTATTATGTTTATCAGGCATTTGTATTTCACTAATGAATTAATAATAATTCTTTCATTTCTCTTGTTTATCAAACAATGACTTTTTATTAATCTGAAGTCAATACAGGAATACCTACCATTAAACGGTCATATTTCTTACCAACTACTATCCCCCTCCCCCCAAAAAAGGTTAAGTTATGGATATATAAGTAAGTTTTCACTACACCAGCCCTGGCTTTGCAAATTTTCAAGTTTTTTGTCTTGCTTAGTCTAGGGTCTAGCTGATGCTTAGTCTAGGGTCTAGCTGATGCAGTGCAACTCGCTCAATTACTAATCCTAGTCCCCTTGTCCTCACAAAGAAAAGGAAGTAACAGGAAACCGAGGTTTAGAGCAATTACACACGTAATACCATAAACTGAGAACCCAACTTTCAATACAGGTCATCAGACTTATCCATTCCTATGTGTCTCTGCAAAAACGCTCAGGAGAATTAAATGAGAATTTCTGCTTTTCGTGAGACAAATTAGAGTTACCACAAAAACATATTAACCTGTGCCACAAACAAAAACATGCTATTATCCTATCAGCCAAACACAGAAAAGATTGCCAACAGCCACTTGTCATTAATTCACCACAATTGGAGACCTACTATTATGAGGAATTTTTATTAAGGGACTCAAAGTGCCTGATCTATGACTTGTCTGTTTATTGGTAACCAGTTTGTGACAAAAATGCTTTCGGTATATGCCACTAGAATTGCTTCTTCAGTTCAAAAATAATCATCTGTAAGACTGTTACAATGTTTTACCATATTTAGTCACTTGGGTGGCAGTCAACTCCACATAATGCACATAAAATTGGGATGTTGAACTAGGTAGCAAGAATGGTATTATTTAGTTTTTACGGCTTTCAAGCATGCCTTACTTAGAAACCCTGGAAATTGTATCAGGTTATATTTTCACAAAAAGTAATTAGTTCTGACGCAACAAAACCATTTTTGGCTAGTAAAAAAAATGGCTTTAAGTACTAAGTACAATATAGCTTCATGGTAAACATCAACTTCTCCTCTAACTGTGTTTTGAAGATAAGAAATCGTCAAAAATGTCATGAACATCTGGTCACTTTATTGGAGGAAGGGGAAGGTTTCCTGAAGGTGATACAAACAACAGATGACAAATACAGAAAAAGTAGAAAATGATTTCAGATCATTTCTTTTTCCAAAACACTAGCTCCAAAAAACAACAACAAGAAAAAAACAGTATCAAAATGAATACTTCTGAGTCACTAAAACTGATCTGAATTCCTATCATAAAAGTGGCACTTGAGTTTGGAGTTGTTTGAAGATTAAATTCTCAGTTAAGTTTGGACTTGTAAACATATGATCTCTAAAAGGCAGCAATGCGTATCAGTGCAAACAGTCTGTAAAAGCTGTAGGCTGCAAGGGAATTGCCGAAGAGGAAGAGGTGACCCTTTTCCTGTTTAAGGCTAATGACTCCCTCTGGGTTTCCAGGTCCTTCTCAGAAACTTTACTTTGTTAATTATTCCCTTCTCTCATGCATTTGTTTCCTCCCTTATGCCAGTTCTCTAGTTCCTAAGCTCCTGGTGGGCATGTGAATTACAATACAGAGATGCACACACAAAAAACTAAAAATATTTAAAATTCCCCTTAAAAGATTTTCTAGGGCAAATTTACTACAGGCAATGACTTCATTGTAACTGAATCCCACTACATTAAATGCGGGCAAATGGAATTCTACTTTTACGGTCATCAGAGCACCTTTTCTAGTTTCTCCTAAAGACGTGTCTCTTGGATGCTTACCTTAAAATTAATTTGCATCATTGGAAGAAGGTGAACCAGTGAACCACACATGTCTGTAGTGATGAAGGAATTAATTTCTGGTATATTGAGGCACTGTAAGGTTTTATATTTTTCTTGGGACATGCCCACTTTTGAACCTAAAACATCAGCAATGGCTATAGGCGAAGAAAAAGGTTAAAAATAGTAAAATTTAAAATAAGAATTTACCAAATAAAAAGAAATTCAAAACATTCACGCTTTTGCCATAACATCTCAAAAAGGCTGAATAATTTTGTTGTTTAAACGTGTGGAATAAGTTGTGAGAAAACCAAAGAATTTATTTTTAAAAACCTAGTATTTAAGAACTACAAAATATGTCTAGAAAGGGGTAGAAGAAGGGAAGAAACCAAATTTGGAGGAGTTAAAACCCTGGCTTCCTCACTTCATATCTTAATGTTTGACCTTATGTGACCATAGATAAGAAGAAATGGAAAGTACTTCAAAAAACAGTTCAGTACTATTTAGATAAACTACAGTTACATATCCAGAAATCATTTAGGAACAAAAATTAAAACTATTGTCTAAGATAATTAACTGATGGTCAGCATCAAAGAATGCAGCGACACAACTATATACTAGACATCTTCAAAGTTTATTAAAATATGAACAGAGCATGGGCATTTGCTCTATAAACATTTTGTAGATATAAAGGCTACCATAAACACATATCAAATGTTTCCATTCAGTTAAGCCTTTCAAAGTTTAAATGATTCGGACTCTATCAAATTTTCCTTCAACTTCAAAGGTAATGCTGAACCATTTCAGGAAATAAATACCAAGCACAAGAATAGAGACCGAAAGGGCTTTATGCAAAAAAGAAGCTGATCTTTATAATATATTAATGTAAATTAGATACAGCTAACACCCACCTAGGAAGACTTTCTCTTTTCCAATAGAATAAGTGCCACAGACAACAAGAGTACGTGGGTTTAGAGTTACAGCCTCAAAGGCAGTGTTGATGGCAAACTGGATAACTTCTTGCTGAGACGGAAAGCAGTATTCTGGGCTGCAATATCTGGAATATGGAAATATGGTACTTATAAAAAGAGCAACAAGAAAGCCACAGCATTAAATTGGATGCTATTTTAGAAAATAAGCTTTAGCAAAACTGCACACAACAGCAGTATAATATATTAACACCAGTGCAGGTTATCGCACTTCCTGTGGGTAAAATATTTGTTACCGGCTATTGATAATTCATGATGGGATTATGCATTTTCAGTATACTTTTCTCATTATGTTTCTTTTATCACCTTCAAATAAGGAAATGCCTTTTTTTCCCTTCAAGAATATTTTGAGCCAGCCAGCTATTTTAGCTCTGAATTATAAACCTCAATCTTTTTTTTTTTTAACCCCAATCACTAGCAAAGAAAAATCTATTGATAGGGATTATCTCTGAACTAAAGAATTCTGCTACGGTAAAAAAATAATTATTAAAATGATGAAATGAAACATGAATTTAACAAAGTAGTTTTAAACTGTTAATATTCACATGGTCATCTTCTCTTCTTAGGAGATACAGAAATATATACAGTGTTACAGGAATGTACCAAATCCAGGTGGGGCTACCTCAAAACAATAATGTCCAATGAAAAGCTAACCCTCAAACTACTATCTATATATATTGAGATGAAAATTAAGTAGTTTTTCACTATAAAAGTCAAAGTACAAATACCAAAAGAATGTATTTTTTTCCAATTTTCAAAACTTTTCGTTGTTCAGCCATTAGAATAGAGAAAAATCTTAATCCTTTCTCCTATAGAAACCCACAAAGAAATTCACAATTGTATGTAGAATAGTGCTAAGTAACAAGAAACTTTTTTTAAGACTTATTATTTTAATTTATCTGATGTTTAAAGCATATAAAAAGGAATGGAAAAATAGCTAGTGTTCGCAAACAGGATGTAGAAAGAACATCTTTTTCTAAAATATGTCACCCAAACTCCTTCTCTTTGAAATAGGTTGAAATAGGTAACATAATTTCTAACAAATTGGTGAGGTATTTTAATCTATAATAAAAAGATGAAGGCTTATACCGTTACGTTATAGCACCTAATAATAATTCAAAGTTGTCACTTATAAATTACCTTAAGAAAAAAACAAATTCTGAATACTCAGAAACAGAGTCATATTTTGGCCTCAGTTTTCGCCTCACAGTTATACTTTGTAGTTACAGACAGTTGAAAGGGTAACCTAAAAGGGTGTTTTCCTAACAGCTGCATCCCAATTTTTCTTCGTTGTTTCAGTAGTAGGATTCTCACATAAACGATATTTCAAAAGGAAATTATTTTTAAAAAAATTGAGCTGTAGTCAGTTAAGACATGTAATCCCAAATTTGTCCTTAAGCAAGCATGGTTTTTATTTCAAACAGCACCCCTCTAATAAGTAGCTGTCAGATGATAACTGACAAAAGGTCATAGTTTGGATTACCTAGGCAAACGCTCAAATTATTCCTAACCTACATGGCAATGCCGTCAGTGGGAAAGGGAGGCGCACAAGCAGCTCGCTTACGTGGTGTCTAAGTAGAGCGTGTGCACTCTCCGGCCAGCGAGAAGGGAACGCTCCATGGAGGGATCGGCTCGGAAGTCCCCGGTGTGCAGCACGGCGTTACCATTCGGAAGACAGAAAAGGATCATGACAGCGCCTGGGCAGCTGAACACAAACATTGCAGAGAACCGTCTTAACACAGGCAAGCACCTCAAGGAAGCGTACTTATCCCAGTATCAAGTTAAGACACTTCGGTAGCTGACGGCGACGACAGAGCGCTGTGCGACAGAGGAAGTGTAGCTCTTCAATTAAGGAAGTTTACATCAGAAAAAAACACACACACAGAAACTGGTGTGCCAGAAGGCAGGCCTGGTTTCTCAAACTCCACATCCCCAAGGAAGGCCCATCCTTAGGACTAGCCCTTGAAGAGGAGTTCTGAGCGCTTGGAACAGTCTGCTGCTGAGAGTGCATTATGTACGCCCGAGGCCTGGGCCACGTGTTACTAGTGTGATCAAACAGCTTAGGCCAATACTGTGATCGCTGGCGAAGCAGTTTTTGCTCAGGGGACTAGAGCCTGAGTAGCTGAGGTCAGTCACATGGTGCTGAGTGCCTATATGACCCCCAGTAAAAAGGACAAGGCTCCGGTGAGCTTCTCTGGGTGGCAACATCTCATAGGTGCTATTACACATGGCTCCTGGGAGAACTGGGCACATCTGTGCTACGCACTAGAAGATGACACCTGTGCACTTGTGCCTGGCTTCTCCTGGGTCCACCCCGTTTGCCTTTTCCCTTGGCTGACTTTAATCTATATTTCTTCCTCGTTGTAAGTTGTACATGTTTGGCAGCTTTGCTGAGTCCTGTAAGTCCTTCTCAGGAGCCACTGAGTCTAAAGGACCCCTGATACAATGGGGTTTGGAAATTCTGCCAAAACACAAGAACTTTCATTTTGAATTTTAAGAAAACACAGGAAATAATTACATTTGTAATTAAAACCTTCTTCTTACCTCCTTGCTCCAAAACTTCAGACCCCAATTATTTTACTGGGGAATTCTATCAAACTCTTCAGGAAAAAATAATACCAATTCTATACAACCAACTTTCAGAAAAGAGAGGAGGAATGAACACTTCATGAGGCCAGCATTACCCTGACAGCAAAACCAGACAAAGCGTTATAAAAAAAAATACAGAGCAATATTCATCACAAAACCAGACATAAAATTTCATTAGCATATCAAGTCCAGCAATGTATTTTTTAAAGGGGTAAAACATGAAGACCAAGTGGGGTTTATCCCAGCAATGCAAGGCTGGCTTAACATTCAAAAAGTACATCACTGTAATTTTTACCATGTTAACATTATAAAGGGGAAAAATCATATGATCATCTTGATACCAAAGAAGCATTTCACAAAATTCAACACCTATTCATGATTATGAATGCTCAGGAGACTAGGAACAGATGGGAACTTCTCAACCTGATAAAAGGCACCTGTGAAAAATCTACTGCTAACATCATTTTTAATGGAGGAAAAGTGAAAGCTTTTCCTCTTAAGATCAAAAACAAGGCGGCACGTCTGCTCTAACCATTCCTAGTCAACACTGTACTGAAGGTCTGGGCCACAACAGTAAAGAGGGAAAAAAGCACTCCAAATGGAAAGTAAGAAGCAAACCAAAATTTCCTTTATTTACAGATGACATGATTGGATATGCAGAAAATTTTCAAGAATCTACGAAAAACCTATTATAACTAATGAACAAATGTAGCAAGATCTTGAGATACAAAGTCAATAAACAAAAATCAGTTGTCCATCAAGAAGTGAGTGGATAAACAAACTGTCAGGTGTCCATACAACAGACACTACTCAGTAATAAAAAGGAACACAATTGCGTAGATGAATCTCAAAAACATGACGAGCGACAGAAACCAGACATAAAAGAGTAGATGCCGTGTAATTTCATTTAGATGAATCCCTAGGAAAGACAAATCTAATCCATTGTGATACAAAACAGAACAAATGGTGGGGCTGGGGATTCACTGAGCAAGAACACAAAGAAACCTTTGGGAAAGGAAACATATTTCTGTATTTTTATTGCGGCAGAAATTAAATGGGTGTGTACTTTTGCCAAAATTCAGCAAACACTTAAAATTGGTCCATTTTATTTACCTCAATAAAGTTGACTTAAAAAAAAAAAGAGAGAACTTGAGTTGTAATTGGTAATTAAAAAAAGAACAGCAAAGTTCACAGACGACAACTTAAAGGCGACCTGAAGAAAGAGCACTGGCCTCGATTTTAGGAGACCTCAATTTAGACTTAATTTTAAATCTCTATGATCTCTCAGGTACATGAGGCTAGCACTCTATGAAAGGTAGAAAGAAGAAAGTCAACAGCTGCCATTTTTGCAATGTAAATAGTGACAGTACTTTACATTTTTAAATATGAGGAAAAGGGGTGGGACATCTGTAATACTGTCAACAATAAATTTTTAAAAAGTGAGGAAAAGAGGGAAACCATTTCCCAAAAAAAAAAACACCCTTTAATACTTACTGATTGGCATCAAGCAAAACAACTTTGACGTCATTCACTATGCATTCGGTGTCCATTGGTAACGGATGGATATACTGCTCCTCCACGTGAAGTTTGCTCTTCAACAAATTGCCAGTTATCTGCAAAACACAATGTGCTTATTGGTGATCCAGTAAAACACTAAATAAGTATTTTATTTCATATCCTGGTTAGAGCCCAAGTATCTTAATAATCTTGTGTTCTCCCCCTTAAATCCAGTGTAAACATTCCAAAATGCCAGGAAGATGGCTGTGTCATGCTCTGCTTAAATACTGTCACCAGCTCTCTCTTACCTGTGAAAAGTCCATCCCTGGCGTGATATACAAAACCCTTCATGATCTGGCCCCTGCCCATTTATGCAGGTTTATCTCCTATTTCCCTGTCTTGTGTCTAGCGATTCTGAAATACTTGAAGTGCCTGGAATGGGTCTATTTCTCAGGTGTCTGCCTTTATATAACAAACTCCACTCTCTACCTGGAATGCTCTCTCCTCTCTCCTCTGCCTGGTCCTGGAACCAAACAGATCTGTGTTCAACTTCTGGCTTCATTACTAGCCCTGACTGGGGGCACGTCACTTAACCTCTTCAAGCTTCAGTTACTTCATCAATATAAAGAGGATAACTCAAGAACGCTGTGAGAATTAAATCAAATTCTACCAAAGCCTGTAGCAGTAGGCAATAAAACGTTCACCTTTCAATAATTAGTTCAAACTATTTTTTGCATCACGAAACCCTCTCTAACCTTAGCTTGGGACAGAGTAGAGCATTCCTTTCTCCCTACTTCCTGGCACTCCATTCACTTTTCTACTGCAATACTGATCCCATCGGGTATTATTTGTGAACGCATCCCTTAAGGGTGTAAGCTCCTTTAAATTAGGTACTTGGCCTTGAATTATTTTTTAGGCACTCAGTTAATGTTTACTAAACAAAACTTAGGATTTTTCTTTAGTACACTGTGAAGTAGTTTATTATTTCCACATACTAAAGCATATTTTTTTAACAACTTTTGTAACTATTGAAAATAACACATTCAATTCTAGAATATCAACACAGAATCTGTTTTCTCATATCTTGTCTAGTAGATTGATAGATCTTACAATTTTAATTATTCCTTTTTAACCAAATTGCTTAGAAATTCACTGCATTCTACAAATGCATAATTTAGAATACTAAAACTCACCTCACTACAGTAAATGGGAAATGTGAAGTTTTTAGACAATCCAGCATAGTGATCAGAATGAAAATGCGTGAGGAAATAGGCCGTGCAACCTTCAACCATGCCATACTGGAAGGCGTCAACAGTAAAGCCAGTTCCTGCAATGAGAACACCAACACAGCTGCTTGAGCAACGCCAACCAAGAAAAAGATAACTCAACTTGATTACAAATACTGAACCCTCGAATGTCTTCACATCTCACTTCTAAGTTAACTTTGCAATTTAATTTAAAACTTACACCAGGTTAGTCAGCAAAAGGTGATACTAGAGATGAAAATGAGTCTTGTAAGTTTCCACTAAATATCCCAGTATATGCTTTTTTAAATGAATAATTATACGAAAAAATCAAAATACTAAACTACAAACCAATAACTTCTTTGTTTTACTTTGAGTATTATTTCTTGGAATATTTTCCCGATACTTACTAGTCACCTAAATTCCTTTACTGCTGCAAAATAGCCAAAGGAGAATGCTAACTCTTCCAAAACATGAATGCTAAGGTGGCAAAAATGATTGAAGGCCCCAAATAATCTTACATATTACAATGGTTTGAGGTCCTCCAAAGGGCCACAGTACAATAACAGATAAAAAGTACGTCAGTACTATTTGAATTTCATTGTGAGGAGTGGGAAAGAGGGAGGGAAACAAACACACAAAATGCCTAAAAAGTCTCTCTAGAGGAGCAATTAAAAAAAAAGTTAAAAAGGCTGAGCTGTTCTAAAATGTGTTCATGAAAAAAATACCCAATTATATGCAAGTAAATAAGCAAATAATTCTATTGAGACTTATCAACACATGGTATAGTTTAGACTGGTTTAAAGTACAGAAATGTCAATCAAAATAATTATTAAAAGCAAAACTAGAGCTATGACGGACAAAATGCTATTCTCTACATAAATATTTTGAACAAATTATAGCTCTAAATCATCAATAGAGCACTTGAAAAATCTTTTTGAAACCAAGTGTATTTCGGCAGTTTTCTTTTATATTCTTTTCAGAAGAGTTACTGGTTCCTTCAATATAAAAATTCCTTTCACCAGACATTTTCCCACTAACTCACCTATGAAGACATGAAAAATCACAAGCATATGAAAAAGCTGAGAAACTAAGTTATGATGTGGTTTAAAAATGTTTGGCATTTATGACGACCTATATAACCTGTGGCATTGTCCTTCTTTGAAGCTATTTAGTGCTTTGCAGTTCTCCTTAGAGATGCTTAGAGACTGTCTTTTATTATAGTTATTTTATAGGGAGCGTTTCCTCCTCCTGTATTAATCTGATCTTTACTAGTCTTTGTCAAATCTATAACACCCACCTAACTAGTACAGTATCATGTACATAGAATATGTTGAATAAAACTTCACCGAATGGAGCAAAAAAGGTTAAACACACACACACAAAAATCTACGTAACAAGTCATGAAGTATCGTAGGAAATACATACACAAAACTGTTTCATGCAAACACACACACTGGGCAATGAACGTGAAATTTTAAAAAGCTGACTCTCTGTAGATACAATAAGCATTGATATTTCAGCTTACCAGGTATTTTCTTATAGAATGGACATGTCCTTCTTAATTCCGCGGCAGATGAGTCTGGGATCTTCCTGTGGCCTCTCTGCAGCCCACCACCAGCTGACTTTATGAAACCTTTGTCTTTGCTTAAATTGACTGCTCCAGCTTTCGTCTTGTTAACAAGGTAATTTGACCTCTTCTGAGGTGTTCCTAACGGTTGTGAGTCTGACTTTTTAAGTCTCTTTCTTTGATGCTGTGCCCTCTTACTAGGTTCCACAGATTGCCAATTCTCATTCAAATCCTTGGCATCAAATTCTGAATCACTTAAAGATTTTTCTGCTTTCCTCTTGCACTGCCCGGACCTCTTTTTATTAGGACTTACAACTGGATTTAAGTTCATCCCTTCTAATGTACTTTCCCCCATCACTTTCTCTTCTTTTCTTTTAGGTGGTAGACCAAAATACACACCTATATCCATTTGCTTCATTACCTTGGTAGAAGGCTGTGTAGCATTACACTGAGAACCGGACGGCACCATTTTCAGAGACTTAGGAGAAGTAGGTGTGCTCGAAGCTGTCTCTGAATTTAAAACTGCAACTTGACTGTCTAGCATACCACCTAATGCCTTTCTGCAGGAACATGCTGAGTTAGTACTATTCTTCGCACTGAAGTTTTTACTTGATAATTCTTTAATTTTACTTTGGCTTGGATGGAAAGAAAGGCACCCTCCTCGGGCCTGGCTTTCAAAAGGTTTTGACATTTTACTCTTAAGTAATGGAAGAGAAAATTGATTGTAAACAGCTGATTCTTCAATTATCTGTTTCTGCTTATTTGATGGAGATGAGTGCAATTCTGGCTCATCAGGTTTTGCTTTAGTGGCTTGATAACTAGCAGCAGCAAGCCCTCCTGCTAATGCAGGTGGAAACAAGAAATTAGCAGCATATACTGGATCATGATACAAAATGATGTTATCATTTTTTAAAAGAAGTTCAGAAGAATCATTCAGAGTGTAGTATTTATACAATCCTTCATTGTATTTATCTTGAGTTAAGCTCTTCATTTCGGGGCCGCTCTCCTCCTGATCCCTCAGTAAGGGACAGTGGGCTTTTTTAAACAAAGGACAGCTATTGTCATCGTCTTCTAGGTTGTCATCTTTAGAGCTTTCTGTAAAAAACAGTTCCTGCTGTGAATCATCCAGCTTTTCATCTATATCATACGTTTCTTCGTCACTTTGAAGAGGAGAATAGGAGATTTCACAGTCGCTCAAGTCATTTTCTGGCCATGGCAAATTTGTGTGTTCTGAGTTGTTTTGGCTTTCTAAATTTTCAGCAAGAGGCAAACCAACTCCTACCAGTTTGTCATTATTAACACATTGTACAAACTGTGGGGCTTGTTGGGAAGATTGGATATTTGCCGAAGAGGAAATCTTTTTCTTCGTTTCAGTTGGGGACTGAGATTTTCCTAGACACTGTGTCACCAACAAGGGATCAACTGAAACATTTTTTAAGTTCTCAGTTTGTTTTTGATATGGAGACCATCTTTCCTCAAGGCTACAAAGAAAGCCTGAATCAGTCGCACTGAAACTGGCCCCTGACCCATGGGATGGACTGCTAAGAGGACTATTACCAGCCCTACTTTGAGCTAGCAGGAAGTGAGTGTACCTCTTGTAATGAGAAGGAATTGTTGAGGTACACAGAAGACCATCAGGACACTCTGAAAATTGTAATAAAGAAAAAAAGTATTACAGTCTCATAGCACAGACTAAGTTTTGACAGTATTAGCATCATAAATTAACACACACATGTAAAATCATCAGCCCTACTTTGAGGCCTTAGGACAACTATCTTTACACAAATCAAAAGATCAGCATAAAATAACAGTAATCCAGTCTGTTTTTGCAAGGTGCTAGTTATTATTTTTAAGTCAAACAAATATGAGCTCCTTCAAAATCCATGTCCTGCTTGCATTACTTATTTCTTAATTGGGTGCTACAAACTGACACCATCAGTTGCACTTGTTCACTATTGCTCAGGCAATAAAGAATAAAGAAGATTGATCTCTCTCTCACAGAAGTTCTACTCCAAATTTTTCTTATGGAGCAATACAGATTTAGTAGCCAATTAGCTTCCATTATTTAATAATAACAACCTTAATTAGTTAGAGTGGTTCATACCCTGGACAATTTAGATTCTGTTCTAAGATTTGAAATTCAGTTTGATATACTGGTTAATAATAATATGGAAACTATTCCCCATCATACCATTACGATTGAGTACCATTCTGTAAACCATCTTGGCATATCCCCAAGTATGTTTATTTCCTGGTTTATAAAAATAATGATCCCTTCTTCCCCCCAAAAAGGATGTTACATTAAACTAGAAGACTTCGTTGCTTAAAACTTAACTGAAAACCACCTCAAAAAGTATTTGTTATAGAACAGAGTTCAATTCAAGAAGAGTCCGTCTGAGACTATTCAAAAGAGTTTAGTCAGTAAAAAAAGAAAGAAGAATCTCTTTGAGGTGGTTTCATCTATAAGACATTTCACCCTGAGGTGTTCACCATGGGACTCCAACTTCCATTTCTGGTTTTCAGGCCACTTAAAAGCAAATTACTAGCATTTGATAAGGCTTTCATTTGCTATACTTTTATAAGAAAGGCTGATGCCAAATTTTAAGAGTTCTTTTGCATCTTCATGCAGAACTTCAAAATGACAGAGGTTAATAATAAAATGGTTTCTGGATCATACTTAACATGAAAGCCATGCTGAGTATTATTTTTACTTTACTGAATTTTAATTCTTTGAGATTTAAAAATCACTGTACCGTATATATGATAACTTTAAAACATACAAATCAACACAACCCATTTTCCAAATACTCCAAGTTGGATTTTCTACATTTTAAACATTACATTTATTAGATGTTTTAAAAGACAAAAACATAGCTTTACTTCAGTTACCAATTGTTACATTTTTATTAGAACCTTAGTAACCTGAGACTCCCTCCCAGTTCCACTTCCTGTACATTAGCATGATGCATCCAACACAACCACATTTAGAAGACTGGATTATATTCATAATTCTCTAAAAGTCTGCTTCATAAAAGATAACAAAACGAACAAGTTGTTTAACTTTTCAGAACCCTCATCTATAAAATGTCAATACCACTACCTCATGCAGTTGTTGTGAGAGTCAAGCAAGTAAACCGAGTGAAGGTAGCTAATATGTGCTCAATTAGCGTTTATGGAAAACAACTGAGATGTTTAGGGGCTTTTATGAAATAAAATGCATTTAGACTGCTTTCAGGTTTGCAGCATTCTTTACAATTATACCATTGGCTGTTCTCTTTTTACCCTTCTCAAGAAAGGTACACATGCATTACCTTGATTGCTTCTAGGTTTAAGTCACTTACACCTCTAGCGTCTCATCTGTCTTTTGGTTTAATGCTTCCCTTGCCTGTTTCACTGGACCGATGTTTGGCCTACAGCGGGCCTATTTAAAAACCACTGTCTTTTTTGTAATCTTACCTGTTTCAGAGGCTGGTGGAGAATCCAAACACTCAAAAACATGCCATCGAGGTGTCTGGCCTATCAAGGAGGAAAAAGGCACCTGGCAGTTTGGGCAGTATCCCTCGTGAACTGGTCGTGTCTTTGGAGACACCTGTTTGTTTTTGTGAGCCCTAGAGTGCTTTCCTGGAGTGGTCTTGCCTTGGGACTGCTGGTTGCCATCGCCACAACTAGAACTCTGACTAGAAACTGTGGAAGTCTGACTGTCTGTTTCTCCAAGGCACGTTTCGGGGTCCTTTGCCTTCTCTTTAGCTCCCACAGCTCTTTTATTTCTGTTTCGTTTTGACTGGCATTTTCCGTCTGTTGCTTTTTCAACAGATTTTGGAATGTTCTGAGAGCAACTACTTGGATGCCCCGGTTTTGGTTTTCTTCTGGATTTGTATTCCCAGATGTCTTCTTCCGAAAAAGTATCTTCCAACATGGCAAATGGATTTTTATCATCAAAGCAGCACTAATCTAAATTAAATTGAGAGCCTACTTCTTGTTACAAAAATTCAAAATGGAATTATTTTGCCGGGGGAAAAAAACAACCACCACACCACAAACCAAAATTCCCACGACCCTGAACCTGAGCAGGCCAATGACAATAAAACCACAACAATCTACCACAGGGGTAGCATCTGAGAAGTTCCCTATTTCTGTGGCTACGCTTTTTCAGGTATCTCGCCTTTTCCAGGGCTTGATTCATAAACATAATCATCAGTCATACTTGGAAAATTAAACCTTAATTTTCGAAGAGGAGTCAGAATGAGCTTTGGGAAATTGCTATAAAGCTCCTACCAGTTTCCTTTCAACTGGGCGACTGTCCTAACAATTCACAACCCCACGCAAGTCCCGGGCAAGGGGCTCGAGCACTAGCTGGCTACCTCAATCTGCTAAACAGCACTGGGCCCCCCATAGTGAAAGACGTGTGTGACTGCCAGGAGAAGTGTGTGACTGCCAGGAGAAGGGTGTCACTGCCAGGAGAAGGGTGTCACTGCCAGGAGAAGGGTGTCACTGCCGGTAAACGTAACTGCCCGTATCCATGACTCGTGGATATTCGACCGCTGCAGTTTCCTGGGTCAGTCCACCATCTTCCTCCGGCAGCAATGCACAGACACTGCACAACAGACAAACACAAATTCCTGGGTGTGAGGTC